AATCCATTAAGTAATAACTTTCCCACATTATCTATTTTATGTTGCAAGCATACATGAACGTGTGTATCGCGCGCGCTCAGAATTTAGCGAGAGAGTAATTTTTGCAGGAGTCATGGAAAGCTGTAAAATAAAAAGAATTTATGTGCAAAATGAATTATTACAAATTCCAAGCATATTCCCTCTTTTCTCATTGTATATGCTGTTCCAGTTATTCATGTTGTTAATTAATACAACAAATCATTCTTTCAATAAAATTTCATTTGGTTTCAAAAGAGTAATAAGACTGAATAGAATTGAAAATTCTGCTTGAGAATCATGCTCAAGGCACGAGTTTGAAGATCTTGCTCTTTTTTTCGAGGGAATTACTTTATAATTGAATTTTCATGTTAAACTCATAGACTGAATAATTTTTTAAACACGAAACATATAGAAATCTCGCTAATCTGCACCTCGAAATGGCGAATAAGGAAGCAAGCTATTTTTTATCGACAAATATGAAGGAAACATGAAATGAATTGAAAATTAAAACATTTTCAATTAAGAATAAGGCGGAATATTGTTTTATGATTAAATCTTCCTAGTTCTGTGTACTTTTACATTTTGCGTTCGCTGATTTATAATTTTTAAATTAATCAATACCTTTACTGAGCTTCATGTGCTTATGATTGTATGATCATGTTAAGAACAGAGATAAGATACTTGGTTTGCTGAGAAAGCATCATTAGTTGATTAATAAGCTTTAAAATAACAAAACCTAAACACTTCATGATGATCAAATTGGGACCACAAATTAAAATTGTATGCCTATCAGCTTTAGTTCTCGTGGAAATGATAATATTACTGTAATGATTTCTTTAGAGAGTCGTGAATTGAATTTTTATTGTTATTAAGTGAATAATATTAAATTGAGAGAAGAAATGAAAATTTTCTTATGTTGAAAGCTCAGTTTATCATTCAATTTCTTGTTCTGCTCATTCCTGCCACGATTTGTCAAGAAAATAAACTGGGAAATGTAAATAATAAATTAAGAAATTGCCAAAAGGCAAAAATATGATAAAAAGGTTCAATTTGTAATACAAGACTTACAACTTTTACATGCACAAAAAATGTCAAGTCCAAAAATTCATCAAGTGACATTGTCGATTTGTTAATTTGATAATTTACTTCTCGTTGTCATTGATCAACATTTTTTTCGACACACAAGAACAGCACATCGATACACACACTCAATATACAGTACACATCGAATTGAATTCAGGTGAAATACGTGAGACTATGACTTACTCACTTATTGATTGGAGATTTATGCTTTCACAATTCAATCAGATTTGATCAGTTTCATGAATGGAATAAGTCACAGATTTAGGACATTATGAGTTTATTTTGTATGCAATTTGATGCTCAATTGAGTCGATCTTCTTAATTGGACTGATGTGCTTGTCAATAAATTGTGTCACAAGTTCATGACGGAACTAAAAGGCAATTTTTAAATATTTTTACAGTTTCAATACTCTTGGGATGAAAACTCTGATTGACATTGCTCATATTTGTACGACATTCCAATATCAAATGAATCATAAACAGAATCAACAGCATTTAAACATTTCCAGTTTGTTAATTGCCTGAGATTTTTATCTTTAAAGCTACAGTAAGAGCATTTCTGTCTTATCTGATTCGTGTCATGAACGTGAGTTTGTGCGAGCATGGAAATTAAAATGGAATAAATGACACATGTTCTATTGCAGTTCCGATTCAGTCACTCGTCTGCAGTGTTAGAAATATTAATTAATTAATGCCGCATCTTAGCCATTAGATTATAAATGTCTCTGTGAAATGAAGTCATTAAGGGTAATCGGAATCTCTCGCATCATCAACTTGCTATCACATCATACATCAAGTGCTGATGAGATTCTATCACATTTGCAAGTGATACGTTAATTTATTTGTTTAGAAGGAATTAATGATATGTTGAGATGCAGTATAAGTTATGATGATGGAATTTGTCATGTAACATAATAGAAGAGATTATAAGTTTCAGCAGAAAATCAAAAAAATTCCAAAATTGATCTTCAAACGAGATAGAAAGTGAATAAATCAAGGACCGAACGATAGATTTTGATAATTGATCAATTCCTCTAATCGGAGCATTCCCGTTAGTTATTCAGCTACTTTTTATATTGACTTGACTCCTCAAAAATAGTCAAAGAACAATGAAGATTTTTAATATTGAAACATAATTGATGATAATGTCGCTGTGACTTCAACAAGATCTATACAGAATATTCATGCATGGTCATTCTTCAAATTGGTTGACTTACTGATTGTCAGTGGAATAATTGCTTCAATTACGTCGTGATTCAATTCTTCGAATTTCTTTATAAATAGCAGAAGGAAGGCAGGTAGACATGGAAGTCAGTAAGTCGATGACAGAAGAGGAAGAAGAAGAAATGAAATTAAAATATTCACACTCCATTTTATGTAGCAAGCATATGCTGATCATGTTTAGCATGAATATGTGCTGGAAATGAGCTCGTTAGAAACAACAAGTCAAGCATAAAAAGTTCAAATGTTCGGCACTGCTTACAAATTAAGGAAATTAGAGGAAACTGTAAAGAAACAGCACATCTTGCATATTCAATGCCATTTTATGGATATTCATGCTCTAATCCCATTAAATGTCAGTAGCATTCATTAAAAGAGATTAATGCATATTTGGCCATTAGAAGTTGCACATCATAATCATCACCATCATCTTATTACTTCAGTTCCAATTGCACTAAATGATCCACACTAAACATAACAAAAGAATGGAAAATATTTCTGTAGCATTTATGCTGTTCTTAATTGGATTTTAAAGACATAAAAATGGCAAGAAATAGAAGTGAATCTAAATGAATGAAAATTGTTTGGTTTCATTGTTTTCCTTCAGTCTTGACTTTGATGCTACAATTGCATGATGATGATGATTATTTCATTTCAATTGCATTATTGGAGAAAGCTCACTCACTCTCATCAAAAATCATCATCGACTTTATATATTTTATTTACTTACTTATTTCTATGCTTCATCTCGTTGCTTCATTTCATATGGACTTACTCCACACTGATGTTGTTGCTTGCAACGAAATGAAAATAAATGGCAATTCAGGTAAATCACTTAACAATGCATTAAGGCAATGAATGTGCTTGTTCGAAACAATTCATTTTAATTAGCACTTCAACGGCCAATGCATTGGAAGATTGCCAAGTGATGATACAGACTATTAAGGTCAATCTGTAGTGTTTTCCTATGCAAAAAAAGCGTGAGTTTAAGTCTTTTAGACACGAAATTAAATATTGAGTTCATTTTAACATAGAGAATTGTTGATGAATCTTTTTCTAGAGTTAAGTTTTATTTGAATTCCCTAAAAATGCGCTTCAAACTGCTTCAAACATCAAGTTCTTGCAAGTGTAGATTATTTATAACAAATCTTTGTCACAGATCCATGATCTGCCAAAAGCATCAAATTTATAATCCATTTGATGCAGATTCAACTCACACAAAGTCTTTCTCCCCATTTTACACGTGATTCATGCAAATATATGCGCATCTATAATGGCGTATCAAAATCTATAATTTCCATTCATATAATTTTGCATGCGTAATAATGAAATGTGTCACGAATATGAACATTTTATATCATGCATGGAAGTAGGAACTATGTGAAAAAACATGATAATATTGTCTAAGAAGAATACCCATCATGAAAACGTCATATAATTTCCACGAGAATGAGTGTCGCATGTAAAATTATGCAATTTAAATGATTGTTTGCAAATTATCTCACTCTCTTTTCAATCATTCATTCCTATTCACAACGTCACATATTTATATATGTACGTATGCATAAAGAGTAGTTGGAAAGTGTGCTACTGCTTATACACTTACCGACTTTACAAAAGCTTTGCGAAATGATCCATTTAATTTTCTTGACGTTCGACATGTGTGTTCTTTATTTCTTGCCGTTCTTTTTCTCCACATATCTGTTGATTTTCAACGTAATTTTTGTAAATGAGGTGATGTGCTTAGTTTGTCTTAATGACTTAATTATTTTTCAACAATTATAGTCGATAATTTAAAAAGGAAGTATATAATTCGCAAGAAGTGAAAGGTATTGCATTCTTGCCATTTTTCTGTACAGTTTAAGAGAGTTAATCAATGCGTAAATGGTGTTTAAAGCATTTTATTTTTTGTAAAACTTTTTGAAGTGAATCGATTTTGCCGCCATTTTAAATTTAAAAAAATATTAAAAATTAAGGTCATAAATCATGGTAAAGAATATCGTGAATAAAAATTCGTTGTGGCTATTTTCTCACATAAAGCTTGCTTACTACTTCAGATAAACAAACGATTCTCCTCGCGTAATCCAGAAACTATATGCATAAATTATTTGAATAATTTTTTTGCATGCTTTACGAATTTTTTATTTTATTTATTTGCATTTAAGTAAACATTTCATTAAGTGAGAATTGGGTTAAACTTAACAAACAAACAAATATTACATTTTGCAAAACATATCATTTCAATAACGGTGCATAACAATTGCATATATTTTCTTCTAAAAACGAGCTTAAATGGGTAATGCAAGAGTTATTAACTTAAACTGTGATGCAATAATGTTTAATGCAACTTAATTTATGAATTCAATTGAGAATTTATTTGTTTTAAACGCAATTAAGCATGTGATTGATGAATGATTGCGCATAAGAGGTCACATCCGCAAATAACGGTTTTTCGAGATTCAAATATCTGAAATTACCCTGTGAAAAAAATACGTTTGGTAAATATTCTTCTTGTTTATATTAAGATTCAGTAACAGAAATCATGAATAAAGTGCTTAAAATTAGTGGAAATAAGTGGATAATTAGTTAATACAAGTTGTTATTAAGGAATACATGATGTTATTGTAAACACTAGAAGTTGCACAATTCGCTCCAAGGACTTTGTTTGTTTACAAAAAGATATTTTCATCATATGTGCAAAAATTTTACATATTTTTATTAAAATAGATTGATATAGTGTAATTTATACATAACTCAGTGCTTAATTATATAAAATGACAGAAAATGATTACCGACAAAAGATTCTCGAGCGTCTATTGGAAAGAAATAGCCGTGAAAGTGGCTTTCACGAGATAATTATAAACAGTGAGTCAGAACATTTCTAAAATTTCTCTCAATTCCATTGTTTTGTGACATTCTATTGCAATTATACGTACAATGGAAGTGACTTTTAGTGACAATTATCTTGTTTAATTGACTTACAGATCATCGTATTCTCGAAAGAAATCTTGAATTAAAGAGTGAGAATTTAGCATTAACAGTTGAGAATGAGAAATTACGAAACGGTCTTGGAGTTGGCGATTCCGCTGCACAGGCTCGTATTCAAGTTCTAGAGAAGAAATTGTTGGATAAACAAGAAGAGCTGACTGATATGCACAAGCGTAAAGGTGATAATCAACAAATGATAATTGACTTAAATGTAAAAGTAACAGAACTTCAGAAACAGTTGGAGTTAAAGAACAACAGGTGAGATTTCCTATTTGATATGATAACAATCATATAAAATTGGCAATAAAAAAATTACTCATGTTGTGGAATAATTTACAGTCTAATTGAACAATCAAGACTTATTCAGTCACTCAAGGCTGAGGTACAAATGCTCACAACTAAAGTTGGAAAGTTAGAGGAACTTAATTCAACATTAAAAGACGAACATACCGCCCTCCATCTTCTACATTGCTCGTTAGAAGAGAAATTGAGAAAGACTCAGACAGAAAATAGTCACATGGTTGAACGACTTATGAAATTTAAGGCGAAAGATGCTGAGAAGATGAATGAGGAGAACGAAACGTTTTTGCGGTGAGTTAATTGATGTAGTTATTGTGGGGTCGATTTTGCTGAAATTAGTTGCTTCTCGAAAATTTGAAATTCATGGATTTAATCCAAAAACGAAGCAAAGTCGGTCCGAAAATGTTATTTGATTTTGATTTGTTTGCAATGAATTCCTTCAACATGCAAAAATTCCTATGTATTTGTCCTTTCCGTCCCAATTTTTTCGCTACCAATCTGTAAAACTATGTTGTTGCAAATTAACACAACACAAAATTCCCGGTGCTTATTTGTACACACTAACATTCACGAAAAAAATAAAAAAAAAAATATGAAAAATCGCACGGATGATTGGAAACCAACAGATTTGGATCATTATTTTCCAGAAAAAAGAATGATGCGATGAAACGGGAATTAGCGGAAGCAGCACGGGATTCAAGTGTGTCGTCGCCGCTTCCAATTAATGAAGATCTGTTTTCTGGTGCTTATGGAAACGCATCGAATGTATATTTTGGTGATGAAATTCCAAATCGTGTTCATTTACAATTTGATGCACATGATGGAGAAGTAAATGCTGTTAAATGGTCACCATTGGAAAGAATTGTAGCTACTGGTGGTGCTGATAGGAAAGTCAAACTTTGGGATGTTGGAAAAGGTAAAATTATTGAAAGTTTTTTCTTTAAATTCTAAATTGAATCTTACACAATTTCGTGAAATTAGAGTTTTGAATCTTTTTTTCTGCAATAATTAACAGAATTAATGCTTTATCTGATCAGTCATAAAATTTATATAGTTTTTAATTCTTTTGAATACTAAATATTAAATTGACGAAAAATTTAATATCCGAATTATTTAATCTAATCGCTTGCTTAATAACGATAAGATTGTTAAACTTGTACGGTTTACAATCGAAGTTTTATGAACTTTTGTGGATATTTGAACATGCGAATTTTCTCATAAATCCTTCCATAGAATCATGCTCGAGTTGAAAGCAGCCCTAAACACTAATTTATAAAACCAAAATAATTAAGCTAAAAGTACAATCTTTTAAAAAAAAATTTACTATCCAAAAACTAGGAAATACATTTGAACTCCGAGCAAACCTTATAGGAAGTAATCAAGCAGTCAATAGTCTAGACTTTGACTCAACGGGTACATTAATTTTGGGAACATCGAATGACTTCGCTAGTAGAGTTTGGGGAATTGCTGATCATCGACTAAGGGTGAGTAAAAAACTTTGAATTTATTTTCGAAAATTTTTCTTTATTTCTCGAGAAAGGTTTTTTTATTACAAAAATTTACGGCGAAAAACTTTTAAATTAAATTCTTCGAATACAAACTTTTGCAAATTAATACTTTTTGTGTCTTCACATCAATGCTCATGAGCCATGGATGATAATTCTTTTACTTTTTATTTAATCTTACTAGCTAAATTGTTAAATAATCTTACTTATTATCGTGAAGTTCACATTTTAATTCGTTTGTTAGTACAAAAAATATAAAATTAGGAAGTAGATTTAGGCGGGGTTTATTTTTGATGTTTTTCAGAATAAATATTTTAAAATTAAAAATTATTTAATTAAAAATTGATCTACGATTATTAATTCTTTATGTAAGTCGTGAATGGATTAAGGTTTTAAGTGCTGTAAAGGTTTTGTGGCATGAATCAAGTTTCCTTTCCAAATTTCAAGAATTACGTTCAAGATTTTTTTTTAAATTTGCCTTAACCATTTTACAGCTCTTAAACCAGAGAAAAAGCACTTCTTAAAGGTGCACCTACAAAGTAACAAATTCCCACAGCCAATCCATTCAAAAATTTCATATCTATTAGCACTGATTGCAGGCAAAAATTAAAATTGAAAAATTACCTCAAATTTAATTTTTTTCCCACAATGCTTTCTGATTTCTTGATTGGATTTGATAGGATAAGGCGATATTTTTGATTCAATTAAATCTCATTCCTTTAAAATTGTTCATTTAACTTATCATGTCTCACAAAAATATCTCATCGTCCTTACTTCCAATTACTTTCTTCTCTAATTTCCTATTTACTATTTTTTTTCTCGTCTTCTAATGTCTCTTAACTTAATCATAATGTCGTCTCACACACTCTTAGCAAAATTGTATTAATTAAATATAATAAAATAATCAAGAGCGATCAGTTCATGATGGCGACATTAATTGCAAAGAAAAAAGTTTTCTTATCAACTTAATTAATTAAATATTAATTTTTTTTACTTGAAATGCGGCTGTTGATGCTTGAAATGCATGTAAATTCTAAATTCAATTATTACCATTTTACTGTCATGGCGTCATTTGCTTTTTAACTACTAATATTAATTTTAAGTACGTTTCGCAAAAATAAAATCAAATTTCAATGATAGAAATAGGAATGTTAATTAATTTAAGGATTTTTGAAATCCATTGAATGATTAATGTATACCAAAATGTATAGCAAGAAACAATTTTTTGATTTTTTTTTCCATAATTTTATGTTCAACTTACAGTCTAAAAAGAGTTTTTTTGAATACTTGGAGGCTCCAAAAATATTTTTCATGTCATTTAATTTACACAATTGAAGTTAAGCTTGCTGTTTAGGAATTTGAGTCTCATACTTTTGTGATTTTGATTTTTCATTAAGATTATTCAAGCACATTCAACAAAAGTCGTGCGTAAAACTCGATTCTTCTCCCGACAATCTCGTTGGCTTGAGTTTGAATGGCAAAAGTCATGTTAAGCGCACGTTTCTTGTTCTGTTTTGTTCTAATAATTTTGGTTCCTTTTGATAATCTTTTAAAATTTTATGATTTCAAATTTTACGTCCAAAAGCTCTATGAAATACACGATTTTTAAATTTATTTCTCCAACCTTGACTCTGAATTCGCTTTACTTTCACTATTGACTGTAACTTCATTAACCAAATATGTTCACAACTCAAAAACCACAAGCAAACTATCAAATTACTTCTTACCAAAAGCTTTTTCTTCTGGAACCTCCAACAAGACAGTTGATTTTAATTAGGAAATGTTTTTAAAAAATATTGCATTAAAAAAAAGTATTTAAAGTAAATTAAATGCTTAAAGGTGATGAAAATCCCTTTTTAATTCTTAAAAAAAGATGCCCATTAATTTCGTTGTTGTGTTCATTAAAAGTGTCGACCAGTATATCCGGAATCGTAAATTTTACACATCGAATCTGTTCGACTACTTGATCCACTTTGAATTTGTGATGAAATTGTTGAATTCTCAAAGTCTTTTTGTTTCTGACGTCGCTGATAAACAACGGTCCATACAGCAATAACTGCTAATTGTGCCAATAAAAATATAGTTGTTGCAACGATGAGCCCTATTTACGCAACGATATAAAGATAGATATGAGAATAGGTATTAAAAATAATTATCTTGATATGAGGATCAATTATATTGTTAATAATTGTTGGTTTGCTGCAAATATGTGCATTTTTCCTGTTGGATGAATTACTTGATTATTCACTATGACTGAGTATCTTGATTATTGAGTAGTTCTTGATGTGAAAAGTAGATTTAAGTTTTCTGGTTTTAAAATAGCTAATTTACGTTTTCTACAAAAATATAAAGTTTCCAAAATCATTGAAAATTTAATTTGGCACAGAATTTAACAAAAATGTCCTACATAATCTTAAATGCGCTATTATTATGCAACAAACCTCTACATCCTGACTAATTAAATGCACAACTTACCCATTCCATTAACACAGAAGCTTTGTGAATCAGGCTTGGCATAGAAAACTGTTTCGCTGCTGCTAACTGTTGGCTTGGCTTGCTGTTGTTTATTGGCAAATCCAAACTTGTCTGTTATTTGAATTGATTGTACTAGTAACATATCTTCATGTGGATTCTTTTCTGCACTACGACGTTTTCGCTCATTTGTAATTACATCTGTTGTCGTTACATTGACTGATCGACGTTTTCTTCCAAATGAAATAATTGATCTCAATTCACCGCCAAAGTCTTCCTCGTCACATTGAACTGGTTCGCATGTAGGCATACATGGTGTTACTAAAGCTCTGAATTGGACCGTTTGTGATGATGGAAATTTGAATGCATCGAAATGTGAGAGAAGAATCTTTCCGGAATTTGGATGTTTGTAGATTGGTCCCATAATATAATGATCTGTTGGACAACCGCGAGCATCAATTAATGTAATTTCTCCACTGTCTGCACCATCCATAGCAACAAGTTCTCTTACAAAGATTTCGTATGGACTTTGTTCATCCAAAATTTCAAATTTCAATGCCAAAGGATCGCCAACCTCAGCTGATTGCTTCATTTCACTACCATCGCGTGTTGTAATTTTCATAACAACATTCGGTGAATCGACAATTACTTCTTCTGATAATGCTGGCTCAATATCGCCTGTCACACCCAAATCAACATCATTCGAGACAGTCTTATTGGTCAAATCGTATTGACATGTAAGCGCCAATCCAAGATCAGATGATGTCACAATCATATCATGGTGTTGAATTACTACATCATTTAAGTATCTACCTAAGCCATTTTGACGTACATTACATTCAATATCTTGATATCCCATGCGAAGTTCAAATTCAAGTGAGTTCTTAACATCAATTGAGCATGAATTTGGTGCTCCCTTTGCATAAACTTTGCCATCGAATAACTTTGAGGTACGAATCTTTGCAATCATATCACCGGCACGACATTCAATTGTGACGTTGTAGCATGACGAGAGTTCATAGGTTGCAGCTTCTGGCACTTCGAGGTATGGATCTTGAATATCAGATAATGTTGCGCGACTGTGATGACTCAAACGACAGACCATTTCACCGGTATCGTTGTAATCATATGAATGGCAACGGTATGGAGAGCTAAGGCAAAGTTCACGACATTCATCAACGCTACCGACATCTTGGTAAACTGAATCGACTGTCTTGAGGATTTTACCAGACATTCTCTTGAATTCGCATAATTTGTTTGGTTCTTCAGCACAATTATTTTCTAAATATTCGGCACCTTCTTTTGGCTGAGTTGCTGATAATGTTCCTAATGTAAGACGATCCATTTCTGACAATTCGCATGTTCCAGTTGATGCATACCAATTTGCCGATCTGTTTGAAAAAATAAATGAAGAAATTATTTATGTTAATGCTTTCGAACTTTAACGGGATGTTTATATTCTTTTTATGAATAAAGGACTAGACTTAGAATAGACGTTTGTTCATACATGAATTTCATCTCTAGGGGATTTTCTTATAAGCTTATTTTTAATGCTTTCTCATTATTCTTAAACTTGTTGAAAATATTCTTTTTTAAGAACAAATAAGCATATTATTTTGGGAGAATACTTAAATGTGCTTACAGTTTGTCTTAATGATGAATAAATATCTACAAATACCAGAGATCGAAGCTGATTTTTTCGGCTTAACTCAATTTTTGATTTTTTTGATAGAAAAAAGCCATTTAACACCCATTTTAAGTATTTAAATTGAACTTTACATGCTTTACTATGATTCTGTGAAATATTTTTTCAGCATGTAGCTATAGTGAGCTCAGAATTTCAAGTTAAAGAATGTTAAGCCGAAATTTAAGCCGATCGGCTTAAAATCGGCTAAATTGAAATTCAGAGCTTACTATAGCTACATGCTGACAAAATATTACACAGAATCATAGTAAAGCATGTAAAGTTCAATTTAAATACTTAAAATGGTAGTTAAATGGCTTTTTTCTATCAAAAAAATCAAAAATTGAGTTAAGCCGAAAAAATCGGCTTCGATCTCTGACAAATACATTTAAAGACGAGAGGAAAAAGCTAAGTAACATCAAGTTCAAAGTCTCAGTCGTTAACCTTTGTTATTTATTTTATTACACTACTTGAATGCGCTCCAATTTTTTTTTTCTGTAAAACCAAAATCTAATAGTCAATTTCCTCACTGTTTTGTTTCTTTGCGATGAATAAAGGTTTTAACGATGATTTATAATATTCGCAAGTGAATAAGCATTGAAAGGTTAAAAGACAGCACATGCTCAATGCATATAAACAGAAGAATAATGATTTTTTCTTATTTACTCGTTTTCCGATCTTTTGTTTTGTTTTTTTTTTTTTCTACAATTTAAAGATCGTGTGCTATTGTTTGTATTATCATAGGGGATTAGAACTTTCATTTATCGTGTGTTGATTCAGTACATAAAATTTATTCTTGTTGCTAAACAATAAATAGTTTCGTGGTGTCGGCATTTTTTTCGTCGCTTTTACTTTCATGCCATTTTTCATTTTCTTCTTTAAATCGCGATATTGTAAATATAAATTGAGGATTTATAATGCTGTCATGTGATTAATGAGGTTTTTGCTAAAAAGCAAATAAGAAAGAGCAATAGAAAGAAGCATAATTTAATCAGATGGAATTAAATAATGAAAATTGATATCTCATTACAACTTAAAGCTATGAATTATACATCTACTAAGTATAAACGATCTGTCATGATCATCAGTATAAATATTATTTTAGCAAGAGGCTCTTTAATTCAATCAAATGAAAAGTGAGTCGAGACTCCTTCCAATTTTGGCACAAAATGATATACATTTTCAATGTTTTGTACAAACAATTACTTCTATAAAGAGCTTGGCATATATTTTTTTTGGAAAATGATACTTAATGTCAGTTTTAGTGCCTCTTTGCTGTCATTAATGTTTCAACTATTTTTTTTTGTTGAGTTTTAGCTTCATTGAAGCACACGTTTTAGAATAGATTGAATGAGCAGATGGATAATTTTTTACTGCTGCTGATTTTACCGCACACACAATGCCATTGTTAAGAGAAATAAAAATTGAGCGATGTAAATTCTCTTTAGCATAATTCTTATTTAATTCGAAAGTACGCTTATCCACTTTGACTGTCTAATGACATTAAAGTGTGAAATTGGATTCTTATTGTACTAAATTTCAATCTATTATTCATTTTCAATCAATTGAGTGAGTTAAAACTAATCAAATTTCCTTCATCATTAATTAGTCGCAAACCTTTAGACTGGCAAAATTTGGTTAAATGAAATTCAAAAGATCTAAATTAGAATCATTTTTTGCATCACAAGAAAATATTTCAGTGATATTTAATTCAACATAACTGTCCAAAATAACCAGAAACCATCAATTATAAGCATAAATTGATCAATAATTACCATTATTACTCAATAACAGGAAATTGAAGATGATTTAAATAAATTATTATTCAAATTTCAATGGACTATTTCAATCATCAATAACTGCTAAACTGTATGGAAATAAACAAATTTCAGAAGCTTTAAATGCGCTACTTTAAATTATTCACAACTTCTTATTCATCATTTTATCTTTTTAATATCTTCATTCGCAATTCTATCGAAAAAGCGAGCAGAAATGAAAAATTCTTTACAATGCCGCAAACATACACACATTATAAATCTTAATCTTGTTATTCTTAGACGTGTCTTGAGGTTTCTTTCTACTTCCATCATACAAATCACTTGATTTCTATTTAAATGACACTCAAGTAACAATAGTCAATAATTATTAATAAATTGATAGTTCTTCATATGATTTAAAGGCGGAAGCTTGTATGTACTAATAGTGAGTCTTGGCGAAGTATAGATTAAAACTTTTACGGTTTTATTGTAAAATAAACAATCAATTTCTATATTTGTCTAATTATCTTGGCTCGATAAATTTAGAATATTCATTCCATATGCCCCTTTTGGAATTCTCTTTTGACTTTATTAAATGCTTCAATTATTCTAAGTTCTGGAATTTCTCTTTTAGCTTTTTCCTAAAAAACTATTTCAAATATTCTTAATTGCTCTTTAATAAGCATAAGGAAATAAAGTTCTAAAGATTATATCTTTTCATTTATGTAATAGAATGCACTAAAACCGTAGGCGACGAAACAAAAGACCCTACCGTGCCATCGTATTTGTTTAATTATTTAGATTCACTTTGGCTCCATCAATTGATTAACATAAGAGTGAATTTCTTACATACTTCTGTGGTCTTTTCGCTTGATTTATGTATCTTCTATTGTTACATATTATAATACTTACAACTACACTACCGAGGAATGTATTTTTCATATTAGAGAATAATTGATTTCGTACAAAAAGACGAAAACAACAATTAAATAAAAGAACTATTAGAAACACGGCACCGCTGCTGCTGCTGATGCCAAAGAGTACAATAACCCTTATGTTGTGTGTTTTTTTTTTTCCTTATGTGTTACGTCGATTGCTCACTCATTTTTGAGAGCATGTAGAGACGACTGCTATTCGTTAGGGATATTGAGCACTTTGGTGACTTGAAATTTAAGGATTTGAATGAGTTTTAAAATCAGTCCCAAACTTTAAACTCTTAAATAGACCAAACATACTAGGAAATCCCACTTAATCTCATTTATTTGCAAACTTTTAACCATTCTTAAAGCCCTCTAGATGCCTTTAATCTGCTATTGAAATTGAACTGCGTTTTCACCACTATAACCGACCACATCCTACACACTCGGCTTTTCAAGGTTGTTGGTATAGCATAGCGAACATATCGTAAGTGATATTGTTTTTTAACTGCCTTGCTTCACTTCACATTGTGTGTGCCGACCTCTTCTTGTTCCTTCTTATTTTCGTTCGTTCTCTTCTTTCCTTTCTATATTTATTTTATATTTAATTCTTCAACATTTTTAATGATGTATCTTATGCTCGCGAGTTATGATATTATACAGAGATTTAGCATGTTTTGACTAATGAATTAGAAATTCCATGAGAGATGTGTTTATGTAGATGATGCTGGCTTAATGTGCGGCTTTTTCATTGGTAACTATGAGAACATTCTCATAATGTTTGGACTATTATTAGAATATTTTCATGCTTCTTATACACATTAAAAGTCGTGTATGCATAATAAAATATGCATTTCATGTAGAATTGTCTTCTATTCAAAGTACATAAATATCGCGTATTTCTATCCATTTAATGTAATAATAAAAAGAAACTGCCTTAAATTATCATGAAACTCACCTGCAAAGGAAATCAGTCTCACCGAAGCACATTTCGTAGCAATCTTGACGTGAGACTGCTGTTGCCGATCGCTTGATATGATCTTTCAATGCATAGCCTTGGACTCTATCAATGCACCATGCTCTCTCGCAAGGTCGCATTTTCAAGCAAGATTTTTGTGCATAAATTGTAAACACGGGAAATTGTGATTTAGTTAAAGCACCTGTAAATGACAATGAGATAAAGAAAATGAGAGAGGAAAAAAATGCTGAGAATGTGATATTGAAGTATATGGATGGATGTAAGATAAATATATGGAATAACTTTGACTCGCATTACAGGATGGATGCGAAAAGATCAGTTTATGCTCTTCCTCATGTGTTAGTTCCTCAGGATATCATTACAAGTCAGGGAGGTCATAAATTTACAATTTCCTCAAACACTATTGACTCGTGACTATATAATAACAACTTAATAGCTTCTTGAAAATTACCGTAAAAAAATCTATATGTAAATCGATAGAGAGGCATACATGAAAGGAAGGTAAATTATTTCTAAAGAACATAAGCTTTTCTTCTTTTTTCTTGGTTTTTCGATGCTATTTAGTTCATCTAATCGCGTTTTTATGTTGAATTATCAATTCATGTTGAAATATTAAGAAGAAGAAAATGTTCATAGAAATTATTGAATTAATGAGCTTAGCTTCTGTTACATTCATACAAGTTATACATTTATTTAGATTATAAAAGAGCAATAGGAAAAGTCTTTCAAGAGGCACTTGCACTTCTTATTAATCTTCTTTTAATGTACGTTAATAATAATGTACTGTGTATCTATTAAATATGAATGTGAGATTATCAAAGGAAATTTCGCTATTAATATAGTAAAATGAACATGTGTTCTTAATTCATTACAGTCACGGAAACTTTCGATCTCATGGAAATAGGTGAAAGAATTTACTTTTACAAATGAGATGAAAATTGAAAAGAAGTGGTATTAAAGCTTCTTCTAAATCGTAAATAGCCATGTTCATTTACTTTGAGTCACTTAAGATCATGGTAAGGGGCTAGGGAGGTAACAGCTGTTCATGCAAAAAGTACGCTTAAGCCAAACAGCATATGTAATTCAAACAGAAGCATCTTAAAGTACCTTACAGACACTAAAATATTTAATGCTTCATTAATTCACTCTTTCATTGTTCTATAAACTCATCAAATATTCTTTTTTCTTTGTTCTATCTGTATTCCCATTCTTGAGCCTCGTGTGCTTTCGGCTATCTTCTTCAGTATAATGACTTATTAATTCAAAATTAATTATTCTTTTACACATGAGTGAGTTTTTATTTATAGTGTTAAAAGAGATGAAATTAGATGAAACATTAAATTGAAGTCACTGACACCTCAAATAGGAAGAGAATCAGAGGGGAAAAAATATATAAAAGAAATGAAGCCTAAAGCTTGATATTCCATGCTGATAATTACAATCTATTCTATTCTTTGCACAAACTTAAGTGTTATTTTTTTTTCTCCATAAAAACTACATCGCACATTGAAGAATTAAACATACACTTGTAACGTGACTAAAGGTGACTGAATGATGATGAATTATTATCAGAGAAGAAATCTGTAACATAATTGTGATTGAAGAAAATAATAAAATAAAATAATATGAATTTCATCTCAGTCATAACTGACAGGTTAATCAAAAGCTAATAATAGATAATTAAAAGATATCAAAAGCTGTCAGAAACCTAGTGATGATGATTAGAATTTTTTTTGTTGCAAAATTTAATTTCCTTTTATTATAGCTATTATTTGAAATTTTTATTTCTTCCTATTCTCATTGGTACTTGATTTCTGAATCATCATAATCGTCTTGTTAAAGGCTGCTTGCGGGTTATATGTGTTTAATTTCATGCCTTCTTTATGGTTCTTTTATGACCATATATGAAAATTTAAATTGTAAAGGAACTAATAACTTATTTAGGGATTATTTGAGAAAATTACTAAGACGATTCAAAGGAATAGGTGTCTTGTTTATGACTTTCTAGATAGACTTTCAATTTATATGAAAAGGCTGCGTACAGAAAATTACAAAGTAAGGAATTATTTTAAATGAATCCGATATAAATCTCACGGACAATGAGGCTCTATAAAGTCTTTATAAAATGTATTTTGTATTGATCAACTATGTAAATGATCAATAAAGTTTTATGGAAAGTGATGACTTATTAAGTAGTAGAGTTTGAAATTACACCAATTTGATGAGATGCAGATTAAATACTTAATAATAAACGACTGAAATTAATAGCTGTGAATGCTTTTAGTGTCAATAAAGATAGGATTAAGTAGTTAAATGTAATAAGGCGAGAATAAACTTGTTTTAATCCATATTATCTAAATCGAAATCTTAACAATAAATCTTAAATTTACTTAAAAAGTTCGTAATCTCTATCAAACCTTAAATCAACTGTCATAAGCGTTTATAACTGTTATAAACTTGAAACATTTATAAAGTCAACCAATAAAACCACACCAGAATTAAAATAATGATACATCACTAAAACATGAACCTTATGAATTATTTAACTCAAGAACATTAAGTTCACAACAAATTTTAATTACATTAATAAAATATAAAACTTCTTAATCGACCATTTAACACATTAGAAATTCTCATTGCATTAGAAATTATTAGATAGAAAGAAAATAACAGTTAAAAAATTCTCTTTTATAAAATTTCACTAGAAAACTAAGATTAGCTAAAAGGAATGAGTGCCGACATGCGTGTAAACGACTTACGGTGAAATAAAGGTATCTTTAACCGCCATAGAAGTCAGTAAAGCTCTTTTCACTTAAAATAGAATTTTTTCCATACGCGATAATTTCACTTTTCTCTTCCGTTCCTGTACTTTTTATTTTATCAGAGCGTAAATTAATATGAGGCACATGGGAATGGGAATGAAAATTAAGTAGAAGTAAAAATTGTTAACGCAGAATTATTTACATTACTTACGAGAGTCAACAAGATATTTTATGGAATTTATCCACATCCATCATTATCATCATCATATTCAGTGTTTACTTATCGACTTCTTACCTGGCTGTTTGTCTGCATTTGATGTGAAGAGAACACATAAACCTGTTTCATAGTTGACCGATCTGCAAGAGTCATTTAATTGACATTGCTCTAAACAATCTGTTAACATTAAAGTGCCGGGAATAGAGTCGAGAATATCTTTTGGTGATGAGTAGACGTAGCTGTGTAGAAGATACAATAAAATTCCATGTAATAAGGGAAACAAAAGAGATGATAGAATCTCAATTATGACGCTTAATTATAAGACACTTACCCGGTTACAAGCTCAAAGCTTATATTGTCAATATTATCACAATCTTGCAATTCCTCACTCGATGTACTTTCGCTACTGTTTACCTCGTTGTCTTCAACGGTTTCCGTTTGAAGTGTTGTCACTGGCAATGAAGGTGATACGGTTTCAGTTTGTGGCTGGATCTGTTGTTGCTGTTGTTCGGCTGTTGATGCTTGTGCAACATTATCCTCAAGGGGTGCATCGGCTGCATTTTTGATTGGCAAGTCTATTCGTGATCTTCTCCTTGCATTTACAGATGTTGAGAAAATAACTAGACAAAGAACTACTAATATCTTATTAAACCTGAACATTTTCATTCTTTTTTGCTATTTTTCTTTTTTGTTGATTGCTTTTCTTTATGGACGAACGTGTGGTTTTATTGATGAAACTAAAAATAGAAGAAGAGAAAAAAAAAGAAATCAGTATAAAATTGATGAAGGATAATTTTTATAACTTCAATTACTATTATCATTATTATTATGATTTGCTCAGTTACTCAATCATCATGATTAAATTATAGAATAAATGATCAAGAGAAGAAAAAAATATTCATACATATTGGCATTGATTCAGAATTGGTTTGAAATAATGAATGAGTGAGTAAGACGGAGGGGAAAAGAATATCGATCAGGTTGATTAAAAATTAATGCTGCATGCAAATTTTTCTTTCTTTTTCTGTTTTTCATTCGGCAAAAAAAACAACAAATAACTGTTTTCTAAATAGTAGTAGTGCTATCTTTCTCGATCATCAAGTAGCTGCTAAGTAATAAGCTCAATGTTGTTATATAGAATAAAATGTAAAAAGGAGAATAAAATAACAAAATATAGAATATAGAAAAAATTGGAGCAAATCTGTTTGAATTAATGTTAAAAGTAAATAAGTTGGATGATTACTGCTGGTTAGAGAATTAGAGGCATTTATGATGCAATGAAATATATATCAATTGAAAACCTATCTTTTCATAATTAGATCTTCGAACGACGCGCAACTGAATTACTAAGAGCACACATAAACCGGAAATTGAACAAATCTGGAAAATATTTCTCGACAAATTTCTCTAGATATGACTAACCTACTGAGGAATTCTTATCTAACAACTTAAATTCCCACTCAGCCAAACAAACTGTAATCAACTTGCTTAATGCACAAAATACATGTATAAAACTGTACAGTTTGTGCGAAATGAATTAGAATAACGCAAGGCGCACAAAATCTCTCTTTCATTTCATTTTCAAACCAATAACACCAAACAACAATCAACCGTTGTGCAGATATAACCCAGAGCATATTGACGGTATTTAATCGACAGCATAAAGTGAGAGAAAAAGAAAAAAAAAATAAATGCTGCAGTTTTGTTCAAGTTTTGTTTGCATTTTGTTGTAAAAAATTATAATATAATCCAATCAATAACTGTAATATAATTCATTACTATCATCATTGATTGTAAATTGAACAACAAGCTGGTAGGAATGCTCATGTGCTTATTCATAAAAACAAAAAGGAAATGTACACAATTTCTTGTGTTTCTATTTTTTTGTTATTAAGAAAAGTGAATTTTGTGAGAGATTTTTACTTTTCTGTTCTGATTTTTCTAGTAAATTTTTGCATTTTAAATTTATGTTAAGTAGTAAAAGTTGAGTCAAAACTCGACTCCACTTTTGTTTATTTTCTCTTGTTTAATTCCATTATGTGAATTTACCTTGAGCTAGTTCTGAAGAGAGTGAAAGATGTTCACTGTGAGAAATCATTTATTGAGATTGATGGTTTTTTTGCAATTTTCATTCAAATCTCATTTTTTTTTCAAATCTCATAAAGGACAAAACTTTAAAGATATGATTTAAAACAATCATATTTAATTCAATTGAAAGCTACTCAGTGAGCTCAGGTGCAATTTACATAACAACAATATTTAAATTAATTTACTTCCTAAACCACTTACTCAGCATGATTCGAAGAAAAAAATTCAAGTACATCATTACTATACAAATGCATAGTCTTAAGAAAACAATTCATAAAAACTTAATGCTCATAATATTTCTATGAGTGTACAAGTAAAATTATGCTAATCGCTCGAAAAAAAATTTCACACCAAAATAGTAACAATAATTATGAATGAAAATAAAAGAATTATCTCCAAATCATACAATTGAATTCATGGTCAGCTTGCCCAAGCTTTTTTACTGTCTTTTACCGTTTAGGAGTGAACAAAAATTCGTAATAAAGCAAAGTTTATGTTTCAAGATTAAGAAAGAGAGTAACGATAGAAATATAAGAGCAGCAGTGTGACTGACTATTGAAGGTAACTCATACTTAACGGATTTTAAATCTTGTATGAATTAAACATAAACAATGAAGGAAGAAATTATGGGAAATTAGGCGTTTTAATGAGATGAAGAAATTAAAATTGTATCATATGAAAGAGAATTTGGGCCACCAACGACATTGTTTCTTGATCAGTCTCGAAAATATCGTGTGATAATCGCGATCTTTTGCCCTTTCTTCTGATGATATTTTTATTTCATCTTTCTCAGAGATAAGAAGAAGTAGTGAACATAAAACTCTCGTTAACTTTTTGTACAAAGTCATTTTGTTTGTAATTTAATATTTCTAAACTTTAATCGTTCTTATCTTTATGCATGCATCTCAATTTACCCACTTTTTTCATTATTCTTATTTTTTCATTCCCATTTATGTTTGTATTGAATTTGTTTTTGCTCAATGAAATTAATTTTACAAGATGTTTATGAATTTCTTCCGCTTCGTTTAAGCTTCAGAAGCTATAGATTGTGATTTAATAATTGTTTATATTTCTTATTAGTTTGCAGTTCTTAATTGACTATTAAGTTAAAGTGTCATTTGACAAATTTAACACTGATCTCCATAATTAAATACTTCGAAACTTTTTGGTCACTCTTTAAGTTCTGCGAACCTTAACTTTTATAATTTACTAAAATTAATTAATTCTGTAAAAAATTCACATTTATATTTCTTCTTTAATTAATGTTAATCAAAATCAACAAGAATCACAGAGTAAAGTATAAACTAATTAATAATTAGTAATTCAAATGACGACAACAGTTAACAAGAACATTTGAAAATGTGCTGACAGTTAAATTGATTCTCGTACTTGTGTTTATCATTTTAATAACTTCGTGGGTATGCTTTATTCATCTTGTGATGGTTGAATTCTGGATTTGATTTATTTCATTTAAGCAGACGATATTTTGTTTTTATAGATATTGCGAAAAGAAATGGGAAGCTTTAGATGTTAGTTCTTGAGATTATTTATGACTTTCAGTTCGAAATAAAAGTAGTCTACAACTTCATTAGTATTCATTGGCAGATAAGAAGGCAATTTTGAAGATAAAAGTTAATCCAAAGTCTATAAGACTAGGATGGGAATATGTATGAGTACAGTTGCTTGATTGTTGGTACACTTAGCTGTTAAATGGAACAATAGATTGGTTTAAGTGTCATTCTTTTTACAAAAGTCCCAATGACTTTTGATCTTAGATTAATCTTTTATAAAAGAGGTAAAATTTTCAAAAAAACGAAATAAAATTCTTGCAAATCTTTTGTATGGCTTGAAAATATCTTGCATGTGAGATCGGTTAACAGTTTGTTTCTGAAGGAAGGGTATGAACTTACATGATGAATTGAATTTTTTTGAATAATTTAAATTGTGCAATAAATTTCAATCAGATCTGTCAAATAATTTCAACTGAAACTGTAATCCGTGCATATAAAGTTTGATTTTAAAATTCGTGTGAATTTCTTATGTCTATTAGTTCCTGGTTTTGAATGCGAAATTTAAAGATGGAGATTACTATAACCGAGAATTAATATTTTGACGTTCATGGAACTGAATAAATCTATGATTGTATAGTAATAGAATGACATTGGTCGACTTTCAGAAGTTGTACATTGAAAGTTTGTATTGTGTGAAGATTATGATTATATAACATTTGATTCTTAAGCACTTTCTTCGCTTTAACTATGTGTAAAAGTTCGAAAACGTTGTTTCGTAATATTTTCCATTAAATCTAAAACCGATAGAATTCTTCTAGATTTAAGTGCTTTTGAACGAAAAAATAAAAATTAACCTGCCGCCAGACTTACTTCTTAGAATTTTGCCTCACACAATAATAAAAACCACAATAAAATTGGATGTGAATTCTAACAGAAAATGAAATTACAAAGAACTTAAGCAATTTATAGCAAAATAATTCTTGTTCGCAACTAATTCATCTGTAAATTGCAGCAACGGATATATTCCTAGCACCGCCCCGACGCTTCCTAGAGGAGTTACAAGCCGTCATCATGATTAATTAGAAACATATCTAACTAGAAACATTTTACAGTTTTCTTTAGCGCAGATTTATTACTTAATGTAATTTATAAGTAATAAAAAAAAAAATCATAATATCACCACGTAATGTCTTACCATAAAATTTTTGATTAGAAACAAAAGTCACCGATCTAGTCTTCAGAATTTTTTTATTATGACTTTTCCATTCGAATGGAATTAAAGATTTATAAGCAAGTTTCTATAAAATAAAATTAAATTGCTCAACTTATTCGCTCTGTATCATTTGATGTCTCTAGTTTGCGGTCATATTACAAAACAAGATGCTACATCTTAATCTTGGTAGAAGTTTTTATTGCAAAAAGAGTCGCCCTTGCAACTCAACTTCAAATAAAATATTTTTTTATTGCTTGGTAGTCGAGAGAGGATGAATGGCCATAAAATAACTGGCAAATTAAATAACCAATGATCAAGTTACGTTCTGTCTTTTGATGGAGTGATTTATGGATTAACTTTATTGAAATGCACACGACTTTTATGATTAATTGCGATATTGTTATTACCTAATAGTTGTGATGAGTTTATTGGACTTATGTTTTTTATATAAAAGAATGTGAAGATGAGCATGATTCATTTCTTATTTTATGGTTACAAATCAAACTCTATGCTGGCATCTCTAAAATCTAAAAAATCATTTCGTCATAAAATTCTACTTTTTTGTAATCAAAAATTAAATTCTTTCAGATCACGAATGTATTTTCTAATATAAAATCATTTTAAGAATATTAAAGCTTGACGCCTCGATAAATAATAAATTAATTTCCTGTAATTTATATTCTTAATCAGACCAAAAATCAAAGATTAAGTTGAGGTCAATAAAATTATTTCGATACCCTAATTCTCTTTCTTCTCCATATTTTGAAAAAGATGTTAAAACCCACAAATTATAAATTTAATTATCCAACCATAAAAGTTGACATTACTCTCTTTATAAGGTAATTTAAAGCAATTAATGTTTTTTTACTTCTAAATCCAAAGATTTATTACTTTATGATTGAACACGTTTAATATTAAATCCACA